CTTCTTCTTCTTCTTCTTCTTCTTCTTCTTCTTCTTCTTCTTCTTCTTCTTCTTCTTCTTCTTCTTCTTCTTCTTCTTCTTCATCATCGTCATCGTCATCGTCATCGTCATCTATATGCCAGCTCAGTTCCCAAGCAGCAGGCAGAGGCCCTTCTCCCGAGAGACTGAGTTAGCTCCAACTTCTTTCTTTGCTCCCTCTTATTTCCTGCAGGAGCGATGTCCAGAGTGGTGAATGCATGTGATTACAAGACGTTATGCCCTCAGTCCCATGGGATTGTCTTCAATGCCAGAGTCCAGTCCAACTCATCAGGCAGATTGTCCACCCGGAGCAGCACCAGCAGCAAGAGCAGCACTGAAAGCTCTACCAAATCCGACTCAAGTGAGGGCCTTCCTGATGGTTCGGGTCCAGATTTCAGGCATCACCAAGCAAAATATTTCGGGTCGACCTTCCCTGGTTGGCGGGGAGGGGGGCAGCATCCGCAGCCCGCAGAGGTCATGCTTTAGGGCAGTGTCTCTCAGCCTCAGGAGTTTTAAGAAGCGTGGACTTCAACTCCCAGCATCCCCCAGCCAGCATTCATTGCTGGCTGGGGAATGCTGGGAGTTGAAGTCCACGCGTCTTAAAGTTGCTGCAGTTGAGAAGATTGGTCTGTGCTGCCTAAGAGATGCAGTTAATACAATGAATGGGCAACAGGGATGGAATCTGAAGAAAGGAAATGGCCTGGGACGGATTGTTTCAGAGAAGTGCAGGGTAGAAATGTCCAAATCAGTCAACCGACCTTCCTTGCCCCCGATGACCCGGAGTCCTTTTGGGAGTGGCTGCGGCACAGAGCAGTGATAAAGGAAGGTCCCTGCTAATTTAAAGGCTGCGTGTTGAAGATGTGCAGGCAGAACAAGGAGCGTTGAAAAGTCTCCTAGCTCTCCTAGGGAAACGGAGCATTTACATTTGGAAAGGGTGTACTTCTGAATGCTAAAAGCTAGTGACCGCCCCTAGAAGGCAGAGCCCTCCTGGTAACTCGGGTGACCATTATTTAAAACAGTATGCTGGATAATACTGTATATCAGCTCCCTACACTTCTTTGGACTTTACAGGTGTGCAATGTGTTTCACAACTGAAACTTTTTACCCCTGGAAGCTGCCTTTCCAAGCGTAAATCAGCTGTCCCCCCACCCCAATTTCCAAAGTGTCCTGAGCACAGAATGGCCCACCTCAAGCTTCAGAGCCCACTCCTGAACTCCACACAGGGCTTTGCAAGCCCCAAAACACTTGGAGCTGTGCTGAAATATTTCTGGCGAGATTGCCATCGCCTGTCTTGAGCTCGAACGTTTTGCATCCCGTTCTGTGTCTTAAACTTTGTATTTCATTTGTACCCATTTTTAAGAAGGCCTTGTGCGTTTTGCAGCTGCTTCGGTCGGCTCCGTCCCTGATTCCACGCTGTCGTCTGATGTCATTGAGCAGATTTTGCTTCAGAAGATAATTGCAAAAGAGGATGAAATCAAGAAAGCATTCCAGATCATCGACATCGATCAGACCCTGAAGATCACTAAGGGCGAATTTAGAAGAGTGATTGAAACATTTATTTTGCCTCTGACAGATGAGCAGTTTAATGTGGTGCTGGCAAAGGTGTGTACTCTCGCGAGGGCTGTGCCTAAGTGTATTTCTCTTCCTGAAGTCAATTCAGTAATGCATTTGCTGACTCCGTTCCATTAAAGAAATCTTAGTTAATCGTAGTGGTTTAATTAATAAATTAAATCTGCAGGAAAGTGCATGGTAATAAAACCGTGGCTCTGAATAGGGTGATGCGTAATACCTCTAGGTCTGAGATGTCCTAGTGGTCTCCGTCCAGTCCGATCTGGCCTTGCTTAGGTTTTTCAAAATGAGCCAATATTGGCCAGGTGCTGGTCATCAATCATCAGGCAGATATAAAATTAAAATCATTAAGACTGGGGGTGAAAACAGATAACGAAGGGATGGTGGGGTGATCTGGCATTGTGCAATCTACTACTTGTTTAACTGGAAGCATATTTTGTCACCTTAACTTACACAAAGCTTTGGAGGGAAGAAAAAGTCTCCTTCAAGTTATTTAACATCTGTATGAAGCTGCCAGGTGAGGGCATCTGGCGGTTCAGGGCGAGGAGCTGTCAGAGGCTGGTGATACTCAGCTGAGTGGGGCATGCTGAGGAAAACATCAGCCAATGTCTGGAGGCTATCAGGGTCTGGACTGGGTGAAATAAACTCAGATTAAACCCCTCTGAGACAGTTGTACATCAATAAGCATCCAAAAAGATTGTTCCCAGTTGTCATTTGAATGGTGTCTCCTTTCCCAAAAGGAGTTGGTTTGTCAGCTGGTTCTCTGGGAAACCACCACTGTTTAACCACAGCTGGAGACGGGGGCCAGTTGCAATTCTACCTAGACCAGGATGTGTTAGCAACAGGGGCTCATGTCTTACTCACTACCCAGCTAGATTACATGCTCTGTGTGAGACAGCCTTTGGAGATGACCTGGAAGCTGCAGTGATCCAGGATGCAGTGGTAAGACTGGGACTCCCCCATTGCAGCAAAACACCACTTCTAAAAGAGCTGCATTGGTTATCGGTAGGCTTCCAGGCTATACTCAAAGTGCTGGTCATCACGTGTAAAATACTATACAGCGGGCTACCTGGCATCACCTTTCCAGTGCTGAATCTGCCTGTGCAGTAAGAACATCTCATGGAGGTCCTTCCACTGCTGGAAGTTAGGGACACATAGACTAGACAGCAGCCCTCTTCTGTTGTGTTCCCCCCATTCTGGAACTTGCTGGGCCCAGAGGTCTGCGCAGCCCCCTCCCTCGTGGCATTTCTAAATCAGCCCTGTTCCTCCAAGCGTCTACCCCAAGTTGATTGCTAGAGGTGTCAGTCTGGGAGGTTTCAGAGCCTCATCTATTGTTTTGCATTGTTTTCTTGCCCCAAATCTTATCCGTGTGGCATGTTATAAAAGCTGTAGACAAATGAGGAAGCAAACATAGGATGTTAGCTTTGGGAGGGAACCTGAGGTCATCTGTCCAGCCCCCTGCCCAGTCCAAGAATCTACTGCCTAAGCGTCCCCCACAGACGGCCATCAGCATCTGATTAACCTTCAAGCAGAGGAGAGTCCACCATCTCCTGAGACAGCCTCTTCCACTGTGGAACATTTCCCACCATTCATGGACATGCCCGTGTCATCTTCTTGACCACATTTTCAAAATAGTTCTCTACTGCTGTCCTCCAGGATGTGGTGTTGGTTCTTGTTTTGACTTCTCCGTCTAACATACCGCCCTGGGAATTCCTAGTGGTCTCCCATCCACATCCTGGCTAGATCTGACCCTGCTTAGCTTTCTGAGAGGTTGGGCAGTTGCAGCTGAATTAATATCCTGTTAAATAGAAGCAGTAGGTCAGAAAGTTATAGAACAAAGTAAATCTCCCAGAAACCTGCAAAGGATTTGAAAGAATTTGGTATGACTTTCAATAGATAATACTGAGAGCATTTGAGGGTGCAAAAATGTTGACGCAAGAGTATAAACTGTTTGCTGAACTTATTTCTTTGGAAATGTATAACCGAAGAAAGGGGACTATGCTTTTAATTACGGTATCTGTTATTGAAGGGAAGAATGAGAAGGGGTGGACATGATCATTCTGCACTGTGCTGAAGCATTACCTCAAAGTAATCAACATTTTTTAAATTGAAACAGGTTCCAGGAATTAGCAAAGTTACCGTTCCATATCTTGAGTTCTTGTCAACGTTCTCGAGGCCCATCAGTACCCTGAGCACAAAGTAAGGATGTTGGTACAGTTTATTTCTTGCTGTGCTGTTTTAAGTAAGAGAGAAATCAAAATGGCAAACTCTGAATAACAAAGCTTGAGGCCACCAGTGTAAACGGCATTTATGGACAGCAGCACCAGACTTTTGGTGAGCAAAACTGGGCAAAAGGAGCAGAAGGCAAACGCTTGCCTTGGGCTGCCATTTTCAGCAGAAACTCCATGTACGCAACAGATGTGCTTTTCTGGCCAAGGCTGAAGGACCAGTTTGTCCAGCCAGACACTGCCTCATATTTCCAAGCAGAACTTGGGAATGGTCTTTATTCCCCATCAATATCGATTTGGTGGGATTATATATTCCACCTCAAGGCAGCACACCTAGCATTCTCTCTTCCAATTTTTCCCACAGCAACCTTGGGGGGTAGGTTGAAAATCACCCAATGAACTTCCATGGCTGAGGATGGATTTGAACTTGAGTCTCCCAATCCTTGTCCAACTCTTAACCACTACACCGCATTGGCTCTCTTAGACCATAGTTTCATCTAAGCTGTTCTAGTTAGCCACTATCAACAGACCTGTTTTCTAAGGGTTTAAAGCCAGTTTTAAAACCATCTTGGTTTCTCCTCTTGATGACCTCCAATGGGTTGGATTTCAGCCAGGGACATCTTCAACAAGTCAGGGTCCAAATGGCCAAGATGGTCTACATGACCATATGATTGAAGTCCTGACACACACAAAGGTGTGGCCTTCAAATCAGGTGGCCAAGGACCCATCTTGACCTTCCCTTCCTTGTGGACACCCCTTGACTTTGGCCCGTTGGCTTGGGATTATGAGAGTTGTAGTCCCACCCATTTTGAGGCCCAAGATGAAGAAAGCTGATTTACAGCTTGCCTATTTATGCCCCAGAAAATACAGTCCCTACCCAAAAGTTCACGTTCATGTGCTTCATCAGATACATCCTTTCTGTAGTAAATTCTACTTTCATCTGTTGCTGGAGGGAGGGAAAGATGCCCCTTCCAGGACAATTTTAGGAGGCGAGCTAAGGAAGGATTCTGACCCGAACCATGACCTTCTAAAATGATATTGAGTAAAATTCACGGCTGTGTAGTGCTTCAGTTTTTGTTTCCCAAAACTGGTTGAACGAACGTAGCATCTGTTGGCAGCGCATAGACCAGCACTTGTTCCCCCAGGCACAAAGGCTCTGAGATGTGACACAGAGGTGTGAGTCTTTGCGCCTCCTGTCCTCCGAAGCGCCTTCCAGACACGGCCTTGTAAATGCTGCATAATTGGTGACACCATGTAGGAATAAATCAATCCAGCATGTGTTCAGCCCTAGCGCTTTGCAAGGCTGGGAAAGATTCCTTAGAGCGTATTTGCAGTCCTCTTTGCTCACCTGCAAACCTAACATGAAGAGCCCAGGTAGGTGAAATGATGGGACACCCACTGCTAGGCAGACAGGAAGGGCTGGAAGGAGAGATGATTGGAGTTTTAATCAGCATCAGAAACATACTCGTGTTTTCTTTTGTGCCACAGAAGAGGGGGATGGTTTCAATCGGGGAAATGAGGTGATGAAGAGGTTTATTTTCTCTGCTTCCTAGCAGAATTCCTCTTTCCTCTTGGCTCTTCAGACTACAGCTAAAAAAAGGAATGTGTGCTGTAAAAAATACCCAGTGAGTCTCCTGGTCCCGATCTGGCTTCCTCCCCAGAAGCAGCTGTTGGGCCAAGCCCCCTGCTCTGTCCCTCCCTCCCTGCTGACCTGGCTCAGCTGCCCGCAGGAGCAGAGAATCTGTTTTGGTCCCCAGCTAAAGCTCAGACCCCTTTTGATAAGAGGGCAGGCTTGATAAAACCACGGGGGTGACCTTAATTTCTGCTTGGTTTCTGGTTTCAGGTGGAATAATATCGGAGAAAGCCGAACCAGGACTCTCAGCCAGATGGAGTGTCTCTTACGAGAGAAGGTACCACGTCACCAGGGCCTCCCACCCTGAACGGGACCCCCAGTGTTGCAAAGCGCGTTCGTTAGCTGTAATTCAAGCCCCCGCCCCAGAAGGGCCTTGCAGAAGTTGCTGGGGGCATGCAGAGGGTGCTGGGTGCACGTGGAGCCCATCTGCAACACCTTCACACAACTGCGTTTTTTCCTAGGATGACATGGCTGATTGCCGGTAGGGGTTACCAGCACCCTCCTGTGCCCTGCCACACATTTGGCCTTCAAATCCAAGCTGCTCCCCTCCTATTCCCCATCCCTGGAGAGAGCAGAGGACAATCCACAAGCGTGGTTTGGAGATGGTGAAGAGCTTGGAGTCTTTTCCCTCCTGCATTTGATGATCCTCCATATCTAGGGCTAAGGGAGAGATCAGACCCGCCCCGTGTGAATTTCCATCCGCTTTAGAGACTCTCAGCCGCTGTGGGAGAGAATCATGCTCCTTTTGCCGGAGGAGAATGCCCACAGGGGGTGGTCCAAAAAGCCAAATTGCATGCCTGTGAAAAACAGGCAGAGCTTCAGTTGCCCTGCCGTGACTGCCATCTTGACTTTTTTGACCATGCCTTGCAGCTTCTTTGTGCCAGCGGTCTCATTCTGCCTATCCCTTTCAGGAGCAACCATCCTCTAGAACAGTGTTTCTCAACCGCGGCAACTTGAAGATGTGTGGACTTCAACTCCCAGAATTCCCCA